CATCACCACCATCACCATCACCATCATCATCACCATCACCACCACCATCATCACCATCACCACCATCATCACCATCACCACCATCACCATCACCATCATCATCACCATCACCATCATCACCATCATCATCACCATCATCACCATCACCACCACCATCATCACCATCACCACCATCACGACCATCATCACTATCATCACCACCACCATCATCACCAGGGCTCCTGCGGTCACACTGATGATCACAGAACAGTCCAGACCCATTCTCACCTTGATTCCCACCCAGCCAGGTGAGCTCAGGGATGAGGCCTGATCGCTTTGTGTCCCCAACAGAGAATAAGGGTTCAATGTGTACCTGTTATTTAAACAAATGTAGTCCCCAACACAGTAAACCAGGCCTTTGACCTTCCATGAAAATTCCGACTGCCTTTCCTCACCCAGCTGATCCATCACCACCCCTGACTTCTGCATCTTTTCTGTGTCAGGGGACAGGCAATAGGGAGACTCCCAGCACTACAGAATGACGGCTGACAGCAGGGGCTCTGGAACCAAACTGCCTGGGTTTAATCCCAGCTCTGCCCCTTCCTAGCTGTGTGACCCTCAGCAAGGTCCTCACCCTCTCTGTGCCTCATTTTCCTCACCTGGAAAATGGGGACAATAATAGTACCTGCCACATGTGACAGTGTAGCACAGAAGACACAGCTGATATAATTATTTGTCAGTTAGATAAGGAGAAACCAAGGCTCAGAGAGTGGCAGCGACCTGCCTCGGGTCACACAGCGGGTGAAGGGAGAGCTGAGATTCGGGCCTGGTCCGGAGCTCCCTGCTGCTCCTCCCGGCCCACTTCCCTGGCGCACTCGGCCTCAGCTCCTCTGCCCCCAGCACAGCCTCGCTCTGGAAGTCAGGACGGGCGTCGCACTCACCACGGGGAGCCGTAGATGCGGAAGCCGCGCACGGTGACCTCCGAGTCCTGCAGGTAGATGCAGTTGGTCAGCAGGGACTGCACGTTCTCGTAGTTCTCGGGCTTCAGCTTCGACACGGACGGGAAGTAGTAAAAGTCCTGCTTGATGAGGTCGGCCATGAACTCCTGGTCGAAGGTCAGCTCGTGGTTGCCGGCGATCACGATCTTGTACTCGTAGGGCAGGCTGCCTGTGGGGTCGGGGGGATACAGACAGACACACAGCGCTCCGCCGTCGCCTTCCGGCAGCCGCAGTGCCCCTGGGGGAGGGGTGCAGGCGAGCGCCCCCGCAACCCTGGCATAGCTGCCCTGCCGCCCGCCCCCAACCGGTGATCCCCCTCGGATCAGAGGCACAGCAGTCCTGTCACCGTCCCTGGGGCCGCCTGCCTGGGCCTCTGCTGGGTGACAGGCCGCCAGCCCCTGAGACCAGCGGGAGGGGCTGGACAGGTTCCAGCCTCGGAGCTGCAGCATGCTGGCCTCACCCTCAGGACTTCCCTGCCTTCTTTCTTCCATCTGGCCCAGTTTTCCTCTAGAAGGAGACCCTGCCCGGGACCCCCAGCCCTGGCCCTTCCCAGCCCCACTGTTCCAGCCCCCCACTACCCGGGGGTCTGACTCATTAGCCTCCACATTCCATCAGGAATTGCAAGTTCACTGCAGAGCCCAGGTGAAACCTCTGGAGACCCTGCGCTCGGGAAAAATTACAGTGCCCTCGCCACTGCCATGGAATTCAAAGTCAAAGCAAAGTCCATGTGGGATTAAAACAGACCCGTCTATGCAGACCACACTGGATTAACACTAGCGTCATTCTAGCTTTGCTCTGTGCCAAGTCCCGCACAGTTCTTGCATGCCGCACCTCCTCCCCTTCTTTCTCCGGGGCCCCACCTTGCAGAGGCCCTAAGCAGGGGTGTGCACCGCCGCCCAGGTGACCTGGCCACGGGCTGGGATCCAGGACAGCTGCCCAAGGCTACCACAGCCCCTCGGCCTCCGTAACCACCACCTGCTCCTATCCGCGACCAGCCCTGGGAACCAGCCTGACCCCAGGCTCGGACCCCTGACCCCCCACCTCCCACCAGCCTCAGCTGCCAGGCTCCCCGGGCCTGGAGAAAGAGCCATGATGGTACCTGTGGGCCCTGATTCGGATAAAAAATGAAATACTGAAGTGAACCTGGAGGCCCAAGCCTTTCTCCCAGCCCCTCCAGGTGGGGAGCGTCCTGGTGGATTAGGCAAGCACCCAGGGGCGTGTGAAGGCGCCAGCCCAGCACAGAGGCCTTGGGGAGACCAGATGTCCGGGCAGGAGAACGGTGACATTCCACAGCTATTTCACAGAGAAGTAACCATGGCCCCTGAACGGAACTTGTAAATGGCCTGAACTCGGGTTTTTGAAGGAGCCAGGACAAGAGACACCAAACTTTACCACGTGTGTCTTTCAGCAAGAAGGTCACTTCTCTTGTCCTGGATTCATCAGCATCAACTAGTTAGCACGATCCCGGAAGGTTCCTAGAGTGTGCACATACAAGCCCTACTATGCGCCAGGCACTCAGCCAGCTCTCATCAGCTCCATGGTGCAGACGTGGAAACTGCGGCCCAGGAAGCTGGGGTGTGACGTGCTGGAGGACACCTGGCCGGGAGGTGGCAGAGCTGGATCCTGAGCCCGTCCTGGTGACCCCAGCACTCTCCACCTGCTCGGAGGGCGCCTGGGAAAGTGCCCTCGACAACGCCAGGACGCAGAGCCCGGTCTCATGCACCGTGAGCCTCAGCCATGCTTCTGGCTCTGGCCTCCCATCCTGGGGCCCCGGGTGACATGAAGGAAATCCTCCCAGGGTCCTCGACTCCCAGCTTCTGGGTACGGGGAGCGGGAAGGGCAAGAGGCCGCCTGACCCAACAGACATCCGCACCTCACAGCGCATCTTCTCCGTGCCTGGGTGACTGTGACCCCCACAAGAGCACACGCGGGTCAAAGTGCCAGCTGACCTGGGTTCCAACTCCAGCTCTGTCACCTCTCATCGGAGCAAGCCATTGAACCTCTCTGAGTCTGTTTCCCCTCTGATCAAGAGGGGTGTGCCTGGGGACTGCCCCTTCCTGCAGGCAAAGGACCTTCTTGGCCCCCAGGCTCCACCGAGCCCTTTCCATGACTGTCCCCAGAGTGACACAGTCCAGGAACAGAAGAGCCTTCCCACCCTTGACCACAACGTGAAACTCTCTCCCCTGTTGTGTGAGCGTTCCGTCAGGAACCCAATTCCAGAAATGCCTCTGCTGCAGATTCTGAGGACCGTTTGCCCTACTGAGAACTGATGCCCACAATATCAGATCTGATGCGACAGACGTGCGACCAGACCCGGCCCCCGACAAGCGTCCTAGGACGAAGCGTGTTTCCTGGCCCTGTATACGCGGCAGGAAGGGCAGGGCAAGTTCTGTGGCCGTGCCATAGGATAAAGTTCCATGTCCTGTAATGCAACTATAATCATAGTCTAACTGCAATGAAACAGAAGAGTCCAGAACCCAGTTAGAAACTCTTCTCCTCCCCGCCCCTCCCGCCCCACAACTGGGACCTGCACGTTCTGTCTGGCCATGTCCTCCATAGCTGCGGCAAAGCGCTGCTGGATAACTACCTGATCCCCAGCCCGGCCACAAAGGAGTGGGCAGCCTGGCAGCGAGAGGGAAGTTTTCTGCAAAACAGGCAGAAAACCGTAACCTGCTCCTCACCGTCTTGCCAGCCACCCCAGTCTTCTTTAGGTTTGAGGAAACAGTGTTCTCTCTTCTCTGCTGTTCATCAACTCTGGGAGGCTGTGAGATGACGACAGTGTGGGCTCTGGGCACTGACCCTGCCACCAACCAGCTGTGTGACAACCAGGTGTGTGACAACCTCCCTGTGCCTCAGTTTCCTCACCCGTAAAACGGTAAGAATATTGCCTACCTTGCAAGACCGTTCCAGGGTTACAGGAGCTAATGACAGAAATACACAAAGACTTCTGATGTTCAAAAAATGTCAGCTTCCCTGGACCAGAGTTGCAAACGAGAAGCCTGCAGGCCAGACCTGCCCACAGACATATTTTGTTTGGCATAATTTTTTTTTTTTAACTTTGAATTTGTTGCCAACATTAAAAGTTGAGAAATTCGCAATAAAATGTCATTTCTTTTCTGTTTTCTAAAAATAAAGCAATCAATTTTAAAATCCCGCAATCCTGGCCCCTCAAGAAGTGCTGCGTATCTGTGCCTGCCGTAGAGAGGATGAAGATGTCAGTTTGCCCCAGTCCCCGTCTGTCCCTATTAGTCACACACAGCCACTTTCACTCGTTCTAAGGTACTGCTCACTCTTGGCAGGCGTTGGGGTTTCTGGCCCGTGCCACAGTGTCTGGAGACATGAAGGGAGCAGACTTGTCTCCTGCCCCGCAGTGCTGTCAATCAGGCGGTGAGGACCAGCTCTCCATGCCCCTTCCGCCTCCCCTCCAGCCCACCCTCCTATTTTTCATCACAGCCCACCCGGCTGGGCCTGGCCCAGGTGCTGAGCAGCCTGCTTGTTCCCCTGCAGGACTGCTCCAGGACCGTCCGACCCCAGCAGGTCCCAGCAAAAGTCTGGCAAATGAAGCCCCCGACAGCACCACACGGTGACACAGTGACATGGTGCAGAGCACCCTCTACGGAGATGCTCAGGCTGCCGGTGGGGAGGCGAGAGGCCTGCGCAGCTGACGAAGGGTCGTGGAGGCCAGAGAGGGAAGATGCCATTTCCTGGACCCCATCGGCGGGCCAGCCACTCCATCCCCACGGAACCTTCCGAGGGAGGCTTGTTATCTCCGCCTTGCAGCTAAGCAAAATGAGGCTCCGAGGTCAGGAACCTCAGCAGGTGAGCGGGGAGGCGACACTGGACATTGGCCCAGCTGACCCCCACCTCTGGACCAGAGGCTCAGACTCCTTCAAGGCCACCACAGCAGAGCCGGCTGGGACCCCTCACCGAGCCCCTGGCCACACTGTGGTGGGGGAGGGAGGGGTGGCCGCTGCTGACTGCCTTCAAGCTGACTCCACGTTTCCACTCCCCGTCACCTGTCCATCCCATGCCGAGCACCATCCTGGCTGGGGCAGCCAGAGCCGCACTGATGTATTTATGTCACGTCTCTGACTAGGGGTGTTACTTAAGCAAATTAGCAAATTACTCCAACTGCACAGTTTCATTTATTTCTGCAGCTCCTGACTACTGGGGACTGGGGAGCGAGCAGGAAGCTGTCAGCTCTCCCCTGTTCCTCCAACCTTGGATCAGAGGAGGGTCACTTCTTCCCCCCCAAGGAAGGGTAGAGGAGGGATGAGGACCAGCTCTCGAACGTAAACCCAGGTGGGGGCAAGAGCCATGATGTGCTGGCATGAGACCCTCAAATATTGTCTGGTCTCCCCAAAAGGTGGTTGCCACATGGCTTGGAAGCAGGGGGCTCGTCCATTTGGGAACACAGAAACCATCCAGCACTGTGCACTTCTGAGCTGGAGGTCCAGCCACGAACACATCTGCCTGGATGGTCACTTGGATTTAGCAACTCACCAGCTGTGTGTAACCTTCACAGACACCTAAGTATTACTATCCCCATTTTATATCTAGGAAAACTGAGGCTCAGAGAGGTTGCCTAAGCTTACACAAATCTAAGTAATCAACAACCACAGAGGGCCACGGAGATCTGATAGTCTTTGTGGCTTGGCCTCATCAAACTCATCCTGAACCGACACTCCAAACCATCATGCTACCACTGCCTCTCAGTGGGTGGATGGATGGACGGATGGATGGATGGATGGGCAGAGATGGATGGATGGATGGATGGATGGATGGATGGATGGAGGAATGGATGGATGGATGGATGGGCAGAGAGGGATAGATGATGGATGGATGGGTGGATGGAGGATGGATGGATGGATAGATGGATGGATAGATGGATGGAGAGAGATGGATAGATGATAGATAGAGTATAGATGGATAAATGGATGGAGGAGGAATGGATGGATGGATGATGTATGGATGGACAATGGATGGAGGGATGGATGGAGGGATGGATGGAGGGATGGAGGGATGGATGGAGGGATGGAGGGATGGATGGAGGGATGGATGGAGGGATGGATGGATGGAGGGATAGAGGATGGAGGGATGGAGGATGGGAGGATGGATGGATGGATGGATGGATGGATGGATGGAGGGATGGAGGGATGGATGGATGGA